ACTTCCATAAACGACCTAACATGAAACAGGTAACACGATGTATTGATATACTATGATAAAAAATTCCAGATATCATTTGAAGTGCCACAATAAAATTAGTTGAATTCTTGAGATAAATTTCTTCATAATATAGCCCTGTCTCTTTGTCCATTAATGGGTTTTCTTCCTAGGTGCCTGAAAAATCATGTGAGTCTTGCAGAATGATGTTCTGCATCCATCACAGGTACAATAATTTCTTCCGCACAACATCCAAGACTTTTAAATTTAAACAGGGGGGCTTAGAGTTCATATGTGACAAAATCCTCATTTCTAGTAACTGACACTGTATCACAGTACTGCACTTTATATTGCTGTGTCCTTTTAATTTCTCCTGTACCTATATTGCAATAACTCTCACCATGAAGAAAAATAATTTTACTTACTTCAGCACCAAGTTCTCCATTTTCAGTTGGTGTGTACCGGTTGAATGATAATTCAGCTTTCAGTGGTTGAGATGAGTCCTTCAACTTCACTGTGCCACTGACTCCAGCTTTGTATGAGTTTTCTTTGTTTTCCACACGATATTCCAACCTTCAATACAGATACATATTTAATAGGAGCACACTGGATAACACAGGACACACTATTAACAAAGGCTGCCTCGAAATCGGTTCTAAAGGGTGCTAATAATAGTTTATTACAATCTACAACCCAGACTATCTTTGACATCTTCATCACGATTTTGTATTTGTCCCATTTGCAAGCAAACAAACAAACAAGTTTATCATTTACTTGTTCTCCATAGTTGGGTTAGATGCCACAACAATAATTGGTCAACAGAATTTCATTGACTTTTCATCATAAACTAAATCACCAAATATTATGTGCTTTCTTTAAAACAAATAGCAACCATTTTTGAATACATTCATTCATTTTCAAGACCTTTGAAAAACGTGTAGGATACATTTTATGAAGGACTGGAGGAGAACAGATTGTGTCCAGTGACAGGCTTCGGTATTAGCAGTGTTGAACCTTAAGATTCCAAAACCACCATATTATTCACTTATTTTTGTTTTTCTTTCACTAAATAGGTTGATGTAGTGTAATGTTATAGACTATGTACAATAAGTTACAGGCCATCATGATATATTTCTCATAATCTTCCTTTGTATCTCCACGTGAATGCTGGGACAGTACCCTCAACTAGGCCATAAATGTCTCCTTACAAAACCTTATTTATGACCATTCAGGACAATCTTCCCACCTCATCTGATGCCATATAAACTACATAGTTGGTACAGTTCCATTAAATTAACTCTTACCCAACTATGTCCACACAGTGTCACAATCCAGAAGATCACAAATTACATCTTCATTGCCATAACTCAAATTTGAAATTGGTACCATATACAAATTATATTAACTCACCTGCCATTTAGGATGGGGCCATCAGCTTCTGTTACAGCAATCTGAAGAGTCTTGGCACTCTTTGCAGGTTTGTTGGCCAACAGTACATGCCATTTGTTCAATTTTAGTGCAGGTGAGTCAACATCCGCTTCTATCTTAAAGTTCTGTGCAGATTCAAAGTTTGCTTTTCCACTAGCTGTCAATTTACCAGAACCTCCACTTGCTGTCCACTCCAGTTCAGCTTTGCCTGATATATCATTCTTGCTCTTTGCCTATTTAAAATAAAGTGTAAAATGCAATAAGACTAATGTACTGAAATCTAAATAAGTGATGGCATTGGATCTATGGTCCAAAATTTTTCACTTGAAAGATTATAGCTTTCATGGACATGTAAATATGCTGATCATTAAATTCAAACACACTGTGGAATTAGGAATGGAACAACAAAATCTAAAACTGTTATTGTATAGGGTTCAGGAATATGGACTGGAATCATACGGCTCAAGATACACTGTTGGACTCCAAGGAAGAGTAAATCTCAGAACTCTGGACTAGCTCTACCTACCAGGGCAACAAAATAGAATTTTTCATCTTATTCTATCACCTAATGAAGAAAACAAGGCAAATTTTTGGAACAAAGTTCTGAAAAATATATAAAAAGCCTAAGAGATCAGTCATAGATACACTATTCTTAGAAACATTTAAATTGTTTTAAAAGTTCAATAAGAAAAGTATCTGAATACAAAAAAGCATTCAATTCCATTTTCCATTGTTTGAAATGTTAGTTTTTATAGATATATGTAATTATGTGTGATTAAAACACTTTTTTCACATTTTTTCTCGTTCAGTGAAATCGTAAATTATGAGAAATTTTCACAATACCTGCAAGAGTAAGAAAACACGACTTTTGCCCTGTATGGCAGTGAAGTCAATATTAGGGAGGCCAGGGGCAATGCCAGGTGTCAGCTTACTGTCAATTGTCAATTTCTTATCATTCACAGTCAGAGAAAGATCAGTATTTGCTTCAAACGTTGGTGTGTGCACATACTGCAAAACAGAAATATACATATATATAATAAATTGTAAATATAACTGAATACTCTACAAAAATAATTATACTGGCATCTACTTTAAGACCAGTTCCTTCATATTGTAACGTGGGTCGGCGTTACAATATTTAAAGTTGTACTTTAATGTAAGATGTAAGTTAGTTTTCATAAGATAAGACAAAACTTCACTGCACTGTTACAACTCCTCAAACTATCAGAATAAGAACTTCTACAGTCCACTCTCAGTGGCCAGAGGCTACAACTAAAATAGTTTGGACCCAAAACATAACACAGTCAAACCATCTCTAGAGTTCTTCAGTTTAAGGTTCATCTATCATGCATAGTGCATAATTTCTGCCCAATTATTTGATGTTGAATTTCATTCCTCAATTTAGGATACAAATGGATTATTCACAAAATAAACATCAAGTTATTATATACAATAACAGAGGTGGTATGAAAGACACTAAACATGGAAAAATATTAAGCATTCTTGTATCAGTAGAGGTTTATCCATGCATATCTTGTATGAACTGAGCAGCCCACATAAATCTCATATAAACTGAGCAGGAATAAATGAAGACCCACATAACAGAAAACGTTTACACACATAAATCTCAAACTGAGCAGGCTTAAACCAAGATCAATGTGATAGAAGAAACATATGGAATACTGCTCACCTTTCTCTTCAAGGACAGTTCTGCATTCTTCAGTTTTTCATATGGTGACTGTAGGGCAGCATGGAGGTTTATATCAGATAAATCCTTTTTGCCATTCACATCAATTGTGAATTTAGAATCCTGGTTGCCAGTCAATGCAAATCCACCTTTTAACAGTTCTGCAGACAAAATCATCTATTAATAGCCTTACCAAAATGCATACCTTCTTGATCAGAACCTTTACAAAACATTTAAAGTATGTGAAGTAAAATCTGTGTTTCTTAAAGTCATAGCCTTCTGGAACAGTTTTATGTCAAACTGCTGAAGGACTAAATGAACTCCAGAAACATTAAACTCTTAATGGACTGTGGAATCAACACCTGATCACTTGGATGGAAGTCAATAAAACACAACAATATACCTTAAGGAAGTAAAAGTTTGATAGTTAATAATAAAATGCATCAATCTTTGTTTAAAGATCTTGTTGTATTATTTTATACTGAAAACTTCTATCTCACAGAATCAATATTGCTCCTACCAACTTTGGAGAAATGAGACATGACGTAAAGAAACTTCAGCTCTATAAATTAATTTCAACTGCCTGAAGATTTACATTGAATTTATAAAGCAAAAATCAGAGATAAAAATGGCATATCATCTCAAAATTGTGTTAACATTACAATCTTTTAAGGACCAAACTTGAATTGAAACCACTCAAGAAACATTTAGGCATTGATAGGTCTTTACAATAATAAAAAACATTTATCACCACACCACAGCAACCAGAAGGATAGAGAGAAATCTAGATGGGGCATAGAATGGAAGGGTTTCACATTACACAATTATGATTATGAAATTAATAATCATGGATTCTTGATTCAAACAGTGAAAACGTACCACAGAATACCTTAAAATACAGTATTATAAATACTACTGGCAATTCCACCAATAAAATAAAGTGTTTAGTACATTCTAACCGAATAAACTATATTACAATCCATTCAATGCCTTAATTGATATTTTAAATTTTTCATTTATTCCCACATAAATTAATAAGTACTGTAAAAACCACAATACTTACAATGTACAATACTTAAATCTTAACAGTATTTTATTTGCTATTCATTGAGTATTGTATAATTGCATATCACTAATTTCAGAGCTGAGAGACAATAATCCCCTATAACAAATATTGTATTACCTTTTGTCTTGAAGTCATTATAATTGAAGTACCAATTACTAGAATATGTCTTCGGTTCACTGTTGGGAAGAGTCAGAATCAACTTGTTACTTCCCTTCTCAGGTTCAATGTTTGTCTCTACAGACACTTTTAATGTCTTATCATCCCAGTCATACACTTCATTTAAATTAAACTAGAAATCAAACAGAAAAATTATTTTACAATGAAGTCTTATCATGAAATATGCCATGTGAGCATGTAATTAGTTTCCAAATCTTTGGAGACTGTCTCAGCCTCCATCACCAAAGACTGGTAAGGAAATGGAGGCAGAGAAATAAATAAATAAGCCTCTTGTAAAAAAAAGCAGCTTTGCCCAAAAAATATTAGTTGAAATGTGTAATGATGAGTATGGCAGACAGATAACTTAATTATTTGATATAATCTTATGAATGTTCAGTCTGGGCAAAATGCCTCTTGATTTGTTACCACACAAAGACATTAAATTTTAATATATTCATATTTTTAGATTATTATTTTAACAGTATAATGTCAAATTAATGTGATGCTTGTCCTTAGAAAGCTAACTGCCCCCAGTATAGTTGGAACTAGCACACAAATAATCACCAAATTCCTTTCAACCTGGCATCATCTTTTTAAATACTAATTCTCATATCCATACCGACTTGAATAACTTACAATATATATTTTCAGTATCTTCATAACTCAAAGTATGGCTGCTCATATACTTGTCTGATGCTCTGTACTGTTATTTCCAATATTTGTAACTTTTCTCTCACATTTCATTACTGACATTTAACACGCACACTGTTACTACTGTTCTGGTTGGTTAGATTATAAGAGTTAGTGTTGATCTGGTAACCAAAAGAATTCAAATTCAGCGAAAGTTTGGAGGGTGCAGTTTGGCATATCAAGTTTCTGTTAGGTCTAGGTTTTTTACAGCAAATACTTATGATTGTATCAAAATAAGCCAAGTTTTGAGATGTTCTATAATGTGCAAGTGACCCTATATTCCTCTTTTCAACCCAACCCAATCCAAACACACAGTTCCTCCATTAAAAAATGGCCTCCAGCACCGTTATATAATTGTACAGGAAAAAGTGCATATATTTAATAAAAATTAAAGGGAAATGGTTCATAATTGAAATAAATAAAGTCTCTGTGTGTGTCAAGAGGGCCAATGTGGAAGATGAAGAGACCAAAAATTATAACAGCATACTTAATTAGCATATCTTGTTATTAAATCTTATTAAGTTAAACTAATTTTGACATTCCTCTCTCTCCCAGTCCCCTTAAATGAAATGGGCAATTAATAACTCTTAAAGTCTCACCAACTGCTCCAGTTATGTACAACCTAATTATTATTCTGGTACTATGTGCAAAATAATTAAGAATTTTAATTCTGTGCTCATATTCTGCAAAGCCCAGTACAGTTATATTTTCTTGTACATTACATCACTACCTCCTCACATGTCTGACACTAATAAGTAGAACACTCACCTGCAATTTATTCTCTTCAATTTCTCCATTAAGAGCAGACACATACTTTATATGCTTGACTTTTTCAATTGGCAACTTCAGTTCAATCACAGTGTCCACAGAGAATGGTCCCTTATAGAACGTATCATGATGCTGTAGAGTTTTGCTCACTTTTCCAGACAGATCGACTATGGCCCCAGTACCATAACTGCCATGTCCCTTGTATGTTATGTATGGCTCATAAATCTCAGAGTTGAATTCCACACGTACAGCTTCGCCAATCAGAGAACCTTGCAAAGCTCCCTGAAATATTAATTCTTAATTTACACTGGAACCACATTTAGTGAGTCTCAATTTAACGCATTCAATATCATGCTACCTGGTGAGGCTTTAAATGCCCCATACCAGCCATTTGAGGTAATTACATAAAGATGGCTGTTTTCTAGGCTGTAGTGCCATGTAGTCTATGTTACCTTTATTAATGCTTTATGATATGATATCTTCTACAGCTACTCACTTCCACATAAATGTTTCACTTTTCCACACCTTGCATCAATCATCTTTATACACAAAGGATGAACAAAGTAGCAGGAAGTTGTTTATAAAATAAATAGCATAATTATGTCAGTTAAGCATATATAGTGATCACTACCAACATAGTATTTAGTAGTGAAGCATAAAACATGGGACATCAACCCTGTTGCAATGTTGGAATACCATAACAAAACTAAAAATTACATGACTTACATCATTAATTACTAGAGACCAAACAAAAGGTAAATAACAATAACATTCCCTAAAGCAAAATTTAATACTTTCTAAAGAGTTTCACTTCATCATTCTATACACCTTTAAATTTGTTATTTTATTTGTAATAATTTCTCCAGTTGTATTTGTTCTCACCTGTACTTCAATTACTCTTTGTTCTCGCTGTGGAATGTTCTTGGCAGATATAAGAATAGCCACATCTTTGCCACTTGGTGAGTGATAAGCAAGTTTGGACTGTCCATCAAATGAATACTGTTTGGTATCAACATTCTTGGCAGCAAATTCAAAAGTAACTTTAGCAGGCTCACTTGAATGTGACTTTTGTGCTGTTAATTCAAGTTTTACATCACCTTCACTGTTAGAGGGTCTCACGTGGAGGGTTCGGTCCAACTGGAAATAATACCAAAAACTGTTAAGATTCTCAAGAAGAAAATCTGTTCCCTCATTATCCTAAAAGCTATACCGATAGTAAAAGCAGCACACGTGCTATTACTTAATGCTCAACAATCATATTAATCTTAAATTATAAGCATATCTAAACAACATAACACTGGACAACAACAGTACCAACCTTGCCAGTGAAGTGATGTCCAGTTGGAAGAGTTAGGTCAAAATCTCCTTTAAGCTGTCCATTATCAAGTCTGTCTGTTAGTTTTCCCTTAACATTGAATTCAGTCTTGTAATCCAAGATAACAAGTGTATTCCTGCAGCAAATATGTTTATAAGATCACATGGCTGTTGATTACATTTATACAGCTGCAGCTTATATAGTAACACAAAGAATTATTCTTAATCTTCCCTATTACAGCAAACTCATAAGTATAGCTCTGTAATCAAGACTCATTTAATGCAGTGTGATCTGCCATAAAAGTTACCCTGTAAAAAATGTATTATGAACTGCTTGCAATATAACTGATTTTCGTTAACACAAAAAATTATTATGAATACACATACAAACTTACTTAGAGGTTATGGCATCTTTCTTGAGATCTGAATCAGTATGAAAATGTATCTTTTGGTTTTGGTTTTTGTCTGCATTGTAGTAGATATCAACAGTTGCAACATGTTGAGACCCTGAAACTTGCAGGTCTCCTGTGCCCTTGATCTTTCGGTCAATCTTTAGAATATCTATTACAAAGTTAGCACTGCCTTTACCAGCAGAATATTTGAATTGTCCATTTCCAAGTAAGTACTCCTTGAGGAAGACCTGTTAAAAAGAACATTCAGCAAATATGTTAATTATAGAAAGAGTAGGAGCTATACCTCCATTCCCCCCAACCGCCTGCATGACGTATAGTGGAACAACTTAGTGTTACGCACCATAACATCTCATACGCAATACAAGTTAAATCACTTACGTTAACAGACAAACCATCAGTGTACAATGGTAAATTTATAATACCAAACTTTTCACTTTTACTAACGCACATTTCTTCCATATTCTGGGATTTAGCAGTCATTTACATTTCTTCTAAGTCTAATGTGTAATTTTCAATTCCAGAGGCATACAAGCTCTCCATTACTGCTGCTGATTGACAAGTCACTCATTTTATTGCTACCTTAGGCTGGGGCCACACGACCATACAAAGTACGTCCGTTGTAACGCACATCGTGACGTCCGTCATAGAATTCTGATTTGCAAGTACAGACAATACTATTATTTTTGTTCTAAATCCTTTCAAGCTGCCATGGTAATTGGTGCTCGTGTGGTGTCCTCACCTACATCTGTACAAAAGTACATCTGTTGCAACGAACGTACTTTATATGGTCGTGTGGGCCCAGCCTTAACGGTATAAATAATGGCATTTCTACCTTGGCATTTCCAGATGGATTTCCACTAGACCTGCTGTACTTGGCACTGATGTCAACGTAATCAGTGCTGCCAAGTGAAGCCTTATAATGTGCATCAAATAGCTGTTGATTCAGCACCAGCCCAGAATCAAGCCTAAAATAAACAATGGATCCATTTGAAAGCAGAAAATTAAAAACACTAAAAAAAAGACCATTGAGTTACTACACATGAAAAATTTAGTCAAACACTTAATGAAAAACAAAATGTTTACTACTCCTATTATTATATGAGCCGGGATAGGGGTCCTTTCCCGGGGGTAAAGCCGGCCGGGGCGTGATGCTGACCACTCACCCCCATCTAGTGCCGAGGTCAAGGAAGAGAGGAGCTATACCTCCACTCACCCCAAACGCCTACATGGCGTATAGTGGGACAAACTTTACTTTACCTTTACTTACTCCTATTATTATTGCTATACTACAAACATTTACAGCAGATCATGTTTTGAAAATGATATTATTTTGTTCATAATGATTTATCAACCCATGTCCAACCATGAAACCTATTGATACTTACACTCATTACTTTATAATCACTGTTCACTATACATACTTGTAATCATAAGGTTTTCCATGAACTTTGGCCACAGCATCAACCTGAAAATTTATATTGCTACTTTCAAAATGGTGGGTTACATCTGCTTTCAACTGATATTTGCCACCAGGTTTCACCTCTAAATCAGTAATAAATTTGGACTGATCAGGAGATATAACTTCACGCTTTGTTTCAAATTCTATGCTGTTATCAAGAATTTTAGCCTGTAAGAAAAACAAATTATGAATTAGAACAGTGGTAATTGAGGACTGTTATTGAGATAGAACAAGTGACAAAAATAATAGTCCAGTGCTTATAGCTGCTCAGGTCATCCCCATGTTAAACCTGTGAACTCTTTCCAGTCACAATTTGACATAAGATGTAGACAACCAGAGATAAAAAAATCTGTGGTGAGAAAATATTATCACACACTAATCTTAAACTTGCAGCATGGTACAAATACTAATGATAAGTAATATTAATATTACATACATCAAATTCCACTTCATAATCTCCAGGTTTGTGGACCCCAGTCTTTGCAGTCAGCTCAGACTCAAACTTATGTTTCTCATAACTTGCTTCAACATCAATATGGAGGCTCTTACGAGTTACTGAACCATCAAACTTTCCAACAATACCAAGTAAAGGGTAGGTTACTGAAAGATAAAATGTAAAAAAATCAATACATGTAAAAAACAAACCCTCTGTTTAACTTGTGAAGGCTGCAACCAGTTTGATAAGTCTTAGTTGGTGCATATTTATAGAAATGACAGAATTTAAAATGTTTTAGTGGCAAGGCAAAAAAAAAAATTACTCTGGATCTGATTGGTCTCAAACCAAAGGCCTTCTGTCTTACTTCTAGGCCATCATGTCACAAAGTCAGTAACCGAATCACCTGGACAATTACAACCAAGTTTTCTAAAATTCATTCTAAACAAGTGGCAATCATGGGAGGAATAAGACCATAATCCCATCATGAAACTTTACACTACCAACTTTGTAGCCTTACCAGTATAACACTTCTTACAAAAACCATGTAATGTGGTTATTTTAGTAATGTTCAGTATTAACCGCACTATCTCTAACCAGAATCTCCCTTGATTACTATTTGTAATATCTTTCAAACTGACCTCCTCTTTATGAATGTTTCCTAATTTAAACACACTCACACCACCATTTCAAATGTTCATGGGCAACAGCAGTTTTATCCACACCCACCATTGCCTACATTTTTAACAAAGTAAAATGTAGCAAATTACAATATGCGCTAATATAGCCACTTGTATCACCTAGATTAAGTGGTGGATGATAATATAAATACACTGTCTGAACACTCACCTTTATTCTTGGTGGAGAATTCAAAACTATTGATATTGTCATAACGGTAATGGGCCGACTGGTGGAGTGTAACACGTGCATCACTGTTTTCAGCATCTTTTCCATGGACCACAACCAAGGAGTTTTCAAACTAATAAAAGAAGCAAATTACATTATGAGTAAACAAGATGTATATGCATACTGTAATAATTCTGGCATGTTCACCAGAAGTTAACCTTTTACCTTTGGAAAAAAGGCAACATTGACAACAGAATTTCTGGAATCAAAGACCTTTGCACTGGTGAGCTGTCTGAGTGGGTTTTGACACCATCATGAAGGATTCCACTAAATGGTAGTAAGCCTGACTTGAGATTTCCAATCCAGTCATTTCAATATGCAGAAACACAAGTTGGTCTTTATGTGAAGTGTAGTTATTGATAAATGATTTTAATCAAAACTGGAATGTGTTGACAAATTTTTGTAGAACTTACCATAAAAACTGTTCATTGGTCCTCAATGATTCTGCTCCATGGAATTAGTTAGTTAGTAAAGTAGTAATTATTTTTAATCTTGACACTGTCAACATTTCTTATCAGTAATGATATTGCTCAATGGTCTTTGGTTACTGTCACAATATTAGATTGCACATCTCTGAATGCACAAATTTCTTGCACATAACAAACAATCAGACATTGTGCCTTAAATTAAGAGAACCAGCACTAAATAATAAGCATGTATACTCAACCTACATTATTTTTGTCTCTCTTGTAGTCCCAGATAAGGTTGACTCCAAAGTCTGGATACTGTGATGGATGAAGAAGAATGTTGGCATGAAGGTTTGATGGAGAGGGTCTCTTTAAACCTGACTTCAAAAGCACATACTTTTCTCCATATGTCACTTTCAGGTCAGTGTTGAAGGAACTTCCTGTTTCTGTACTAATAGTACCATCCACCTTGTACTCACCTGCAGGAAACAAATATTTTCACATATACAAAATCTTAGATAAGACCATGTTAAAAACATCTGCATATTTTGTAAGATTTGTAACTTCTTTACAAGTTTCAAAATATTTTACGGAACAGATTTCTGATCCACAAACAATGCAAGTTCTGTGTATGTATGAAGTTGTACTGACCACTAGGAGTTTTGAAAACCACATCATTGAAAGTGAACTTTCTTGAATTTGAAGATTTTTCCACAGTAACAGAACCTAAAAAGAAAAAGGACACATATATAATAAACAATCATCAGACAAATGAAAGGGAATATAGCAATTTCTCAACTGATGGTTCATAAACTGCTGTCAGTATGCAATTTATGCTGGTCCACAGATTTTAATTAGTGTATGCTACATATTTTTACTACAGCTGGAAACTACTCTTTTACAAGTAGCAACTCTACTTCACTTTTAATTTACTTTACAATTAAATAGTTTCTGTTCAACATTACTCCTGCGTTTCTTTATGGTCTTTAACTGTGTGACCAGGGAAGAAGTGAGGAAGACAATTATTGGGTTGAGTGCTGTATCCCTCAGGAGGGAGCTGGAGCAGCTTTACAAGCCCCAGATCACTGGAAGAAAAATATATCTGACAAATTAAACCATATGCCCACATGCACAAACTGTAATTGTAAAAGTTTAGTGTTTGCTATTTATGAAGTCTTTTCACTTTTAACATCACATGAAGTTATTGATTATCACATTACAAATTTTTAATTTGTCCGGAGATAGGGATTAGCTCTATCTAGTGGGCCCAACTGAGTAGGAACCTGAAGACGGAGATAGAGCCCCATCTCCGAAACGTCGTTTTACGTTTTATTACTAGACGATGGATAATATCCAAGTAAATTTTTATTCAATTGACTCTTCACCATCGTCAAGAAGTTTTAGATTTGATACAAATAAATGTATTCAGATATGCTCATAATAATTACACATGTAGACCAATATCTGTACTGCACAACATGAGACAGATAAAATACTAGTCCTCAGAAAACTGTGCATTTTTACCTGTCCCTGAAACAGGAAGACTGATAATCCCTAGACTGGATAAAGAATTTATTTGCAAATTTGTCTAAGATTTAAGATACCAAACAGTTCTGACAAAACAATTGTTAATTCTGTTATTTAAATTGAAATCAAAATGCCAAAATCTGATGCTGTGCCATGTAGTCTGGTAGAAGCTTACAGACAATCCAGAGGTGCTATATTGCTCCATGATAAGGGATGATGATGGAGGCAGTCATTTTCATTCTCACTGCTGTGAGAACCTGAAATCTCACCATGTCAAAATCTGTTCAACAGAGTTCTGATAACTCTCATCCATCTTACCATCAACACTATAATGTTGTGTGAGTCTCTCTGGTCGCCCCTTTGCACCCTTTTGAACAACGAGGCTGGCCTTTTGCTTTGGTGTCCTGTACTCCAGAAGAGGGTGATACGTGGCATGGCTCGGATCACCAGTCACAGATGCTCCCAGTTTCACAGAGTATTCATCAGCATCATTTAGCAGCTTGGCCAGGAGTGAAAGTTCTTTGTCTGAGTCAGTGAGAGCCACTGAAATATACAATACATGCAATTCTTACATTTTAAACCATAAATTATACTCTATCCAAATATATCTATGTTACAGTCACTTCTGCATGCCATGCAAGCGAGTTACATATGTTAATTTTGGAATTATAGGGGGCATGAAATTAGAGGCCAGTCAGTAGAATCCTAAATATAGGTATTTTCAGTCATAAGAAAACTTCTGTCAATTGCATTTCCGAAGGAATGTGGATAATAAACAATAATGAAATCTGTATAACATAACACAATATCGTGTTCAAAATTATGGTGTTCTATCACTAACAGTAAATCATGAGAACAGTATTTCAATACTTTGACAAATTACAACAAATAAGGAATTAAGGCATCTATTATTTTCTTTACTCATGTAAAGAGTATCAGTGTCTGTTCAGTATTATCACTGTGAGAAGTTGAAGCTGTCATAAATGTATATACACACATAAACGCAGATGTACTGGTTTTTTATTATATTCATTACAATTAAACTAAAGACGTCTCAAATCCCAAAAATGGCCTCAAAACAAACATCGTTGTTAAAATGAACTCCAGTAACTTTTACGCTATAGGTTACTCTGAGGCCCATGGTATTAATCACATCTCCTACACTGTACACTACAAGGACTCTGATTTTCCTGAAGAAACTGAAATAAAACCGAAGTTAGATTAACTGATCCAAAAATTTGCTCCACAAACCATGCCAATCCAAGAAAGATATAATATAATATAGCTATCTTAAGCAGCAATTTAATATTAATCTTTCCACACTAGAATCTTCAGCAGAAATACACTCATTTTGTTTTATACAATAATTTTATTCACCGTCTTTACACAAGCTTATAGATTGTTTAAATCACATAAAATTATAACATTTCAACATTTGATATTGTTACATTTTAAAATGACGACATGTTTCGATGTTCATTCCATCATCGTCAGGTCTATCAATTAGTGCAACAGTTTTTAATTTTAATTGATAGACCTGACGATGATGGAATGAACATCGAAACATGTCGTCATTTTAAAATGTAACAATATCAAATGTTGAAATGTTATAATTTTATGTGATTTAAACAATCTATAAGCTTGTGTAAAGACGGTGAATAAAATTATTGTATTGAAGAACACAAGCATGACGCAATTAAGATATAAGTCATTTTGTTTTGTATTTTCATAATACCTTTAGAAATGTTAATATGATGCTGCAAATATCTTCCAATAGATGACAGGACAGATTCTTTTTCAATGATAATACCACACACCAAAGACAGCCAGAGAAGAAGGATCAGTTTCAAAATGATATATTTGGTATAGTGATTGGCTACGGACTGGATGACTGGGGTTCGATCCCCGACGGGGGGCAGAGGATTTTTCCTCTAGCCTCTGCGATCAGACCGGCTCTGCAGCCCACCCAGCCTCCACCTGTGGGTAAAGTGTGGCCAGGGTGTGGTGATGCTGACCACTCACCCCCATATAGTGCCAAGATCAAGAAAAAGTAGGAGCTATACCTCCTTCTCCTTCCCCCCCAGCACCTACATGGTGTATAGTGGGACAGCTTTTATATCTTGTTTACAGCATGGAAACTTCTAATGTCTGGTAAAGTTGTGTTAAGACTTACATTCAGCAGTCACATGTTTCCAAGGTGAGTTTAGTTGAGCCTTGAGTCCCTGGTATGGTTGTAATGTCTGCTCCAAAATCAGCCCTAACTTACGATCTGTTTTGGAGTTAGGTGTTTCTAGCAGCAATTCCAGGGATTTCTTGTTTGGGTCTGAGACATGAAAATGCAAATTCATCAATAACAGTATATTAAACATGTTTACTTCATACTTTGTAATACTGAGGACTTGTAGAAACTGGGGTACATGGCAGTACCCAAGTCCACAGAGGCCCTGATCAGGGTGCCTGTAAGGCCCAGGTCTAAGGGGAATACCTAATTAAGGAGGTCAATCCTTTTAAAGGACCCAGGGACTTTGAAAGATCAAGGACCTGCAGGGAGACCTTGATTATGGCCACAAACAAAAGAGCTCTTTAACATAGAATTTTTCATGTTTTCACCATTTGGCAGGCATTTTCTGAAACCAGGTAATTATCATGAGATCTTGCTAAATAGGATACTGTGCTTTATTGCTGGCATGGGACTACTGGCAGAGTAGAAGAACAGAGAAGCACAAGAGATCAGTTAACGATCACAGTGCAAGGGTAAGTTTGACACATCCCTTTTATTTACATTACATTACTTAACATTTTTAAGCTTGACTTAGGCTTGATGAATATTAGGGAAGCAAATGTAGCACATTATAGAGACATTATGAGGCAGACACCTATTATTAAGGACTCAATCAATATGAAGCTCTTGAAATTCATATTTATGAACAAAACTATATCATGCAATAGCTTAAACAGTATGTTTAATTACATTTAATAGCAGTTACAGGGACAGATATCCTTACCTTTGTTATTGTAAGAGGCATGGAAGTGATAGCTCGTTACATCTTCACTCTCAATTGTCAGAGAGAATTTGCTGGGACCATTAAGTGGATAGAATGCAGCCTTTGCTGCAATTGGATCCCATGGAAAGTTCACTGTTCCACAGAATGTTAGGCCAATGAGAGGAGACAGTTGGTCAAAACATCCATGGTAATCCCTCCTATTACAAAGTAAACCAGCTCCATTATTATTCTGCACAGTGGTATATTTTAATCATAAAAGCATAATTTAAAAAACAAGGAATTAAATAAATGTAATCATAATTTTAAAATTATATCATTACTTCCTGTAATTCTTTAGTATTACTTTCCTCAAGAAATTACATTACAAATTTGATTTATTAAATTTTTTTAGAGAACTCAAATGGCAAAACATATCACAGTTATTTTTATTAATTCTTGTCCAAACATCCAATCAATTAACAGTGTGTCACTTAATGTTCTGTTTCCCAGGAACATAACACAGATGCTAATCAGTCATTTTCCAGTATGTATATAAGCATACACACACTAGACAAATGTCCATCAAGAACATTAAACACATTTTTATTGAAATGTGTAACAAAGCAGCACATAATATGAAAATATCTGTTTTTCTATATTGTATAAAAGTATACTCACATAGTAGTCTATGGACAAGTAAAATAGTTTTTATATAAGTGCATTGTTATCTCAAAGCAGCATATACAAATTAAAATTAAGTACTATATAACAAAACATTAAAATAATTACTTATCTTTGCTTAATTAAAGGATATAATGTGATTTAATGTCTAACAAGATCTCATATTGAGGTTATAATAACCATGCTACACTGTATAGAAGTACAACTATATAGCAGGCTATAGATGTACAATTACATAGTCATAAATTTACCCCATTTAAGACCCAAAATCCCTTAACACTACCATGGCAATGGCTATAACACAAATTCATAAATATATTCCTATAAGGCCCAAAATCTGTTAACAATAAATAATCACCACCCACCAACCAACCAACCAACCAACCAACCTTTACTTATTTATGTCAAAATTGACTTTAGAGATCCAGTACAGATTTATATGATTTAATTACTTTAGAATTGTTAAAATGAATAGAATATATTCTGAATTTAATTTTAATATAATTTTACTACCCAGAGTATTTTAACATGGTTATGACTAGTACACAGAATGTAGAGAACAGTTATGGAAAAGAAAACAGCATGAAAGAATTCATCCCTGATTCACTGTGAAATATCCCATGTAACAAATTAACACATCATTACAATTAATAAATTACATGTAAAAGTTATACATATGATATGTTTATTTGTAAATCAAACATTGATATTATTATACAGAATTTGAGATTTGATGCTCTCACAGCAGCTAGTACAAAGATGAATGTCTTCTGGCTGGTGTGCTGTGTAGTCTGGCAGTCTTCCAGACTACTTGGCATAACAACCACAAGACAATCATCTTCAATATGCAGAATATCAGAAGGATTTTGAATTTTTCAAAATATAGAACTAAATATGACTTCTAATTCCAGCATTATGTATTATATGTTGCCTCAGTCTATGAAGTTAAATGGTGTCTTAACTCATGTTGCACTGTCTTGCATGCAAAAAGGCACAATGGATGTAGCAACATTCTAGGTGACATAATGAATAGAATTTTTCAGTGACATGTTACCTTGGTGTATTTGTAAAGGTAACAGGAGTATCCACCTCAGATTTTCCACGTTCATGAATGGTAGTCAGCACTTCTGACTTTAGTGTAATCAAATCCTGCTTCTTAACTGGTAAGCCCAAGGTAATATCAACTCCACGCCCATCAGTAGCTTTCACATTAACATCTGTTCCAGTAGCTGTGTGCAAAGTATTAGCCACCTTCAGTCCTGCCTCAACAGCATAAGCATCCACAACAAATTCACCCACAAGTTCTACAGCAGCACTGAAACAGAAAACATAAATGTTATCAGATGCAATATGTTTGTACAACAAACAAGATTAAAAATACAGCACAGTAAGAAAGTCCAATTATTTATTTCATAATTATTGTTCAAAAATTTATTGGAGTAAGTTAGCACAGACTTATACTACACTTGACCGATAATGATCTTTAGACTCAAGTTCATTCGCAATGCAGTGTTACACACTGAAATGAATGATGCCACTGTGAGTGAGTGCCACAGTAGCACGCACCCCACATGACAAGTTAAGAGTGGTTGATGTACTGGACCTCAGTGTCTTGACAGCATGATGAGTTGTCAAGTACCAAGAAAATATAATTTATGCATGCCTTTTTCACATTTGTCTGAAATAATTTATTTTTTAAATTAAAATTCCAGTTCAGTTAAAATTTTAAGGCTTATTTTTTCAGATCATACAGGTTTTAAAAAAAACATACCTGTATGAGGTCAAAGATATTTTCCCACAGAAACTGAAGGTTCAAAATATGGCTCAGTAAAGGGCCAAGGAGACACAACAACAAAAGTCAAGCAGTTTCTAGGTCTTTTACACTGGTATATTTTAAGAGACACTTTGGAGATACTCACCTGGGAACAAATTTAAGTTGAATATGGGAATTTTTAAAGTTGTTAATAAGCTCATTTGCATCCAGTTTTCCCTCCAGTTCTACATGAATGGCACTGCTGCCAGTAGCAACCAATTTGAGAGGGAAGCCAAGGGATGTTGGATATATAAGCTCTGTGTCCAGGAAAGTGTTATGTTGCTGTAACTTGTACTGAAATTTAAAATACCATAATAAAAGGTCACACAATAGTAACAGACTAATTTCTATTATCTTTCTGAGCAAGAATGTAAATGGTTCTTATGGAAATAATATGGGGGAGAGACTGGACTGGATTCATGTAGTTAAGGACAGAAAAAGTAAGGTTAATTACAATTTATCTTTATGCATGTGACTTACAACAATCTTTGCACACAGAAGATCCGATCAAAATCATCACCTGAACATTTACTAATACAAACACTTGTAATTAAGGCAATGCATTAAACTTGGGCCAAGTACAAGTGTTACAAGAATAATACCTCATCCTTACCCCTTTTATCACACCACTGCATTTAAAATACATTAAAATCTCTGACTACAAAACTTTACCAATGTAACATTTTTTGTCTTACAATTAATCACAGAAATTAGAATGAGAAAATGAGAGAAAAATATCACCAGCTTCTGAATAACTAGCTGTACTGCACAGTAAGTAAGAATAGTGAGAAAAATACAGTAATTCTTGTACTCACATCAAAGCCCTTTGCCTTTTTCACAACCTTGTCAACAAGATCAAAGGTGTTGTCAAACAGTTCCTTTGCTGCATCTCCAGCATTGTGGTGTAGGCTCAACCAGCCAACCTCTGCGCCAAACAACCTCGCTGATAATTCTAACAACAATTCTCGATCAGGTTCTGCATGATCTGGTGTCACAGACTGTGAAAAAAAGACAACATTAACACATAACTTACAGGTTACAATTCAGTCAAGATTTGCATATAATATTAAGACTCTATTTAAATGGGCCATTAAAACAAAGTTGAATAAAAAGTAATATAACTTTTGCCATTTAACTATGTTAAAAAATAAAAGAATATTTTGACAGTTACATGAAAAATTACATTAAATATCAGCATTTTGTTTTGCGATTTATAACCTGATATTCAACTATCCAGGAAACAAATAATACATAATTAGGATGATGATTGTTCTCTGGATATAACACTGTGTAGTCTTGTAGATACTGACTAACCACTTGGATATGACATTTGGTAAACTTTGTACATATTTGTCATCTTCCTCCTGTTTGCTATATAAGAAATTAATTTCTACCAGTAAGATCTGTTCAGTTACATGATTAACTAAAATCAAAGTATTATTTAGTAGTACACTGTTAAAAAATTACCAAATACATTACAACAAAACTGGGATCATACTTTGATTTTACCTTGTGTCGAACTTCTTCCAGTGCCTCCTTGGTGACTGATCGTTTGCCTCTAAAAGCTTGATCCAGCCTTTGCTTTACAGTGTTCTCAAGCTCAGTCCATTTGTCCTTTCCATTTGTTATGAATTGTTTTAAGTCATGCGTTTTAAAATAACCTTTAGGTCCAAACAACCTTTCAGCAATAAGGTCCAAGTTTTCTTGCCGGAATTCCAACTGAAATCAAACAGCGACAATTTAAAATATGTGCACTTTCATTTTATTGGCACACAAGAGAATGTAATGTGAACTACTACATAACTGTTTTCATGCATCCATATCTCTTGAAATATGATTACTTTAAGAAACTAAGCAGCAGTAATAATAACAGATCCAAATGAAATATATAAAATGTTTTATCAAACATCAATTTACATACCTCTAAGAAGTTGACAGAATGTCCAAATAATTCTGTGGTGAGATTAAGGGTTGATGCTCGTGGAAGGAAAGATCTCTGGGAGTAGATTACATTTGATTCAATTGTGTCACCAAGGCTGAGCCCATCAAGAAGGTATGAAAACTCATAGTTACTAGAGAACTTTCGAAAATCTATAGGAAACCTCTTAGTGGTACGGATTTCACCATAGACAGATTTTAAATCTCTTTTGTTGGGGTTGGTTGATGCCCTGAGATTGCGAAGGTATGATGCAATGAAGGAACCAACTGAAACAAAAACATTGTAACGTGCAAAGTGCATCTCTTTGTGGACTAAATATACATACATGACAATAGGATACAAGACAATAGGGATGGCTGAGAGAATAATAGAAAGTCCTGCTTTAGCCTGGAATATCAGTCTCTACATTTTGAAAATGTTGCTTCATAACTAATGGATTCATTATAGAATCTCTAGGAATTAATAATATGTCAACAAAATAAAAATTACCAATATTTATGACAAACTTGCTTATTCACTGCAGTGTGTCCAAACCGGACAGAGTAATAGCACATTGTATAATGTTCCTATTCTGTATTCACCATGGCATCAAAGTCCTATTACTTTTTTCACATCATGAAAATATTTCTGAAATCTATTACAAATGTTCTATGATCGATTACCATCCATCTTTTAATAATCTGTATTTCATATGCTGATATTCTTTATGTCTTACCTTGGTAGGTTGGTTCTGAATCCAGAACTTCCTTCAGTGCATTGGCCATCTTGTGGCATGGGCATTCTACAAGTGCAAGGAAAGCTTTGATTCTCAATTCACTATCCAGTTGGTGGTTTTTCAGAACTTCCAGAGAAGTCTGCTTCAGCTGAAGTTATAAATGAGGAACAGTCAAGATAGCTTTTCCAATCACCAGTCAAAATCAAAGAACATATTAATTCAATATGATAAAGCAAAACGTTAAATAATGCTCTGGTCAAGAAAAAATAAGAGCATAAATATATTTCATGCATTTTTCTTTAGAGTTTTGCTAACTTTACTTTAAATCCTTTTCAATGTTCCTGCATAGTACAAACTCTGAGACATGCTCTTATATAATATGTGATTAATAATATAAATTTATACAGCATTAGGATAGTTTTTTACATCGTGAAAAATCATTCATAGAATGGAAATCAATCCTAACTCCAAACCGAACTAATATAAAAAGAAACTTTTCTTAAGGAATTGTTTTGTGGAAATTTAAACAAATATGTTTGCATTTAAAGCATAAGTTGTATATACCTGCTAAATAAGACAACAGTAGAAATCATATGATAGTACTGCTCATCAAAGTAAGAAAATATGTTAAAAAGATATGTTAACAACATATTTTTCAGAGACATCTCAGAACATTCACATTCACACTTGTCCCCATCTCTAATGTTGACAGGAGGGACAAGTGATGAAACTTGTAATTAAAAGCAAACATTTTATAAAATATGCTCTAAAACTAGGTGCTATTTTTAAAAATATCAAAACAACACATCTGTAGAACTTTTCTAATTATGAAAGAGGAAAATGTTAAGACCACTAAACTTACTCGGCAGGCATCGCTCTGGAAGACATCCAACGCTGCAACTCTAACTCTCGTTGGGAGACTATCATCAAGGGCACAAGCACGCAATTTGTTGGCCGTAACATCGTTCAAATGGTGAACATTGTGGAGGGCTTTCAAGGAAGCCACAACCTAAATATGCAACAAATAACATGTCTCTTCACTTAATATGCTATAAAGCTGAAAGTAATTTGTCATCTCTGACCATTCATCTGCCACACACACACACACACACACACACACACAAAGACAAAGCATTGTGTTCACACACACACACACACACACACACA